GGAATAAACTACATTTTAAAATATATTCAAATACAAAGCAGTTATTTTAAATAGTAATATTACTGCTTTTGCTGTATTTTGGATCAAATAAATGCAGGCTTGGTGAGCAGAAGAGAATTATTAAAAAAAAAAAACATTAAAAATCTTACTGTCCATTTGATTGGTAGTATGCTATATATATATATTATATGTGTGTGTGTGTGTATATATATATTGATTGGTAGTATGCTATATATATATATTATATGTGTGTGTGTGTGTATATATATACACACATACACATACACACACACACGTTACTGATACTGTAAGTATTAAACTATTACCTTTGAATGTCCAAGGCACCGGCTGTCTCCTCCTGGTCCTCCAGGGTGAATATGTAGTATGCTGCGAACAGAGTGGCAAGGCCAGACAGGAAGTTGGGCTGGATTAACTCATTCTTTTAAACCAAGTTAAAAAGAGGCATTACAAACAAACAATACGAAAATTAGCAGAGGTCCTCAAGTACACATCTCGCTGGTTAAGTTAACAGCACCGTTCAGCACGGCACACACATCCTCCGTGACCGGGCTGCCGCTGACCGCGTGTCGCGAGACTTTAGCACGCGTTTTCATTTTGGCGCCGTGTTAACAGATTACTGCAAATTGGATTTCAAATAATCACGACAAAGTGTGCTGATCAACACGCGGTTACCGTGAATATCAACTGTTGTCACTGAAACATGAAATTCTTAAAATAGGAACCCAGAGATTTTCTGCCCAATGCCGCTATGAGGCCGGGTAATGTGTGAAATCCTACCGCGCCCACGCTCCCGAAACCCCGCGCAAGTCTCCCTCGCGCCCCGTCGACGGAGTATGCGTGAATCCGGGGTTACCAATATGAACCACGAATGTAGATACCTTCATATACTACTACAGTTACCAAACATGAAAAATAAAAAAACTGAAATAAGTCACTTACCAGTTGTGAATCACTCCTCTTGCTGCTCCCGAATGTCGACCTTTGAAGATCCCACCTCTGTAGATTTGAAATTTACAGTACATTTGCGTCAAACGTCACGCGACCCCAGAATGCATTGCAGTTTACAGCAATATGCTGTATTATTAGAAAAACAGCCTGCTGCTGTAAAATATTTCTGTAATTTTTACAGCAATTTGTTACAGTGTAAGCAGCATAAATTTGCCGCCTCCTATTGGTACAGCCTTCAGGTTAGGCCTAATCCAAATGT